GATTTTTCAAGCCAAAAAAGCTAAAAAGTCAAAAAGCCAACCCACTTCCCAAACCAATTAGTAAGTCCCAAATGGTGATAGATTTGGAGTTCTTAGGGTTTCAAAGCTTGCAGCAGTCGGCGGTGGGGGAAGGGGTTTTCGGTAGCCTCTGGCCTCCTCTCCCCCTTCCCCTACTCCTCATTTCTCTCTCTTTTACTTGCTTTGCTATACAATAATTTGGAAGCTCTAGCTTTCCATTCTCTCCCTTCTTTGTGAGGTGTTCCCCCATCTCCTCTATCAACTCAGGGAGTGGTTTCACAGATCCGCCATCACTACGCTTCCACCTTTGCGGGTTTCTCAGCCCTCTTCCCCACCGCCTTCACTTTTGTCGGACTCGCTGATGCCACTGCTGCCGGTAGTTTGCTTGGATATGGTTTTGAGTCTTGTTTTGTTTATTTATTTATTTATTTTTTTCTGTTTGTTTGTTGTTTTTGGGTTTGTCTGGTTTGAAGCCCTCTCTTTTGGGTTTGTTTGGCTGATTTTCTTTGAGTCCATTAGTGCAGATTTGTTTCAACTTACCCTCTCTGTGGTTGGGATCTATGATATATCTTGAACATGCTCTATTGTCGAACTTTTATGATCGGCTCTGTTTTGTAGTACGAGCACAGACACGAAATGTGGGTTCGAATATTTTCATAGTTTTTTCTTCCTCTGTGCTTCACGATTTATTTTCACTTTGTTTGGTGTAAGTTTTGGGTTGGATGGACTCATGTAAATGTCGTTTGGCTTCTTGAATGAAATATTTCTTCTGATCAAAAAAAGAAAAAAAAGAAAAAAAGAAAAGAAATGAATGTGATGCAATCATGATGTGATTTAGTGATCAAATTCTTAAAAAGTTGAGATTCACGTGAGTCCTATTTCTCTTTCTTTTTATTTATATATATCTTAATTAATATTTATTGCTAGATAATGAATGAGGAAGATAGGTGGTAGCAATCCAAGTGATTTCATATTCACTACCTAGAGCGATTCAACGGTGAGAGTTTAAATGTGCTCAATAGCTTTTACAAATGAGGCATATGTTGATCAAATAAGGACATTTGTCATCCATCTAAGACCGTCACCCATCATCCAACAGCTCATGTTTTCAAGAGTATATGGTCAATCCTATCTTTGATGAACAAACCAACCACTTGCATGAAATGAGGAGATTGTTGAGACAGGTGTTAGCTCAAGAGGTTGTTCAGCACCCCACTTTCAAAATTTTATGGACATTTTTAGGAGGTTGTTATAGTTTTTCAAGAAATGAAAATAGAGTACCCCCAATCAATTCAACATTTAACACAACTTAGTACATAACTCAGTGTTATTTATCCTTAGTTTAACCCTAGTTCAACTCTGGAGTAGACTTGAAAAGACATCTTTGCAATAGTTTTAACCTTTGATCATGACATCCGTATCAAATTAGTTATTTTTTTGGCCTTCATAGACATTGTTTTGAAACTTAAATTGTGTTTCAATTCTATTTTATAACTCAATTTCATATTTTCAAATTTGTTTTTATATTTTTTGTAATTTTCAATCGTTGAATTTATAAATGTATGTGTTTTCGTATTCATTTTCCTTTATTCACCTCTCTTTTTGACATTAATAGAGATTTTAAGTCCTCTTAATTGAGGCAAAATAAAAACCAATAGATCTTTTATCCATTTGAGTTTCACACAATCTCCTGCTTTTAGAAATTAGATTTTTTCGAAGTATATTTCCACAACTTAGACATTGTTGACTTGACACGCTCACAAATCACACAAAACCCCCTGATTTTAACCAAAGCTTGTGTTTTAGTTAAAAATATATTTTTATATTTTTTTGTACAAACACTATTGTTAATTTTTTTAATATTCTTTGATTTGATTCGAATTTCTTTTTTAAAATTAACGCTTTATAAGGTGTCGTTTGGTAATACTTACGTTTTCAATTTTCTGTTTATATTTACAAAAATTTTAAAAACTCAAATAAAAACTTGTTTGGTAAAATTTTTGATTTATAAATCAGTGGTTTCAGTTTATAAATTTGGCCAAAAAATGAAAACACAAAAAATGTGTTTCCATTTTGAGTTTTCAGTTTTTTTTTTTATTACCCAACATTAGCCACCACCCACCACCATTTTCCACCACCGTCTTCCGCCACCACCACCCACCTTCCACCACCACCTGCCACCACCGCTCACCACCCGCCACCACCAGCCTGATGAAAGGTAAAGTAAACTAAGATTCCTTTATTTAATTTAAACTAAGAGATTACAAGTCATGTTTATATATCAGTACAGGTAACAAACTAACAAACTATTAACCTAACCACACTTTCTAACTAACCACACATATCATGTAACTATGTAACTAACTAAAGCTGTTACAAACTAACTCAAACAGTTAACAGGTTAACAGCAGATTACATTATACTGAATGAACCTCATCTTGGACCTCTTGGACCTCTTGGACCTCTTGGACCTCTTTCTTATTAGGCCCCCGCAAGCTGAGAGGGGGAAGACCAACACGAAGCTTGGAAGTGAGAAAAGAAAATCTGGCAGTGGACAGAGATTTGGTGAAGATGTCAGCCACTTGATCCAAAGAAGGAACATATTTGAGACAGAATTGGTGACGAGCAACCTTTTCACGAATGAAATGACAGTCCACTTCAATGTGTTTAGAGCGGCTGTGAAAGACCGGATTAGCAGCCAAGGACAAGGCAGACATGTTGTCACACCAAAGAACAGGTGGAGATGGTTGAGGAATGTGAAAATCAGCAAGAAGCATTTGCAACCAAGTGAGTTCTGCAGCAGACTCACCACCCGCCACCACCAGCTACCCACCACCCACCGTCACCACTTTCCACCACCGTCTTCCGCCGCCACTTGTCACCACTTGCCATTTCTCACTCTTTTTTATATTTTTAAAATTTTTTAAACATTTTGTCAATTACCAAACGCGTTTGCAGTTTATGTTTTTCTAAAAATAAACAAAAACCAGTTTATAAAATTTTTGTAAATTTAAACTGAAAACATAAACGTTACCAAACACAGCCTAATATTTTATGTGTTTTTATATCATGGACAGGGTAGGCCCACTTGTTGGATTAGGTACATTAAAACCCAAATGTAAACCTAAAAGAGATAAAAGTAAGAGAATGAAGAATGAATACAAATTTATTTTCAAAGCAAATTAAAGTACTTTTTTAGTTAAAAATATTAACTAAATTTTGTAAATTATTTATAAATAAATTTTTATTTATAAACATAAACATTAACATCAGGGCGGAGCTAGCAAGGGCCCAAGGGGGTTACGTGCCCCCACTGGGTTTTGGATTTTATTTTATTTTTTTTTTTATTAAAGCAAACATAAAGAAAATGTTATAAATAAAAAAAATTTATAAAAATATTATTTTAAATGTCAATGACATTTTTAAAATAATAAGAATAATAATGGTTATTTTGATTGAAAATAAAGTGATTACGATGTTATTATTTATGAAAATTCTAATATAATGGTGATGTCTATCACTATTGATATGCAAACATAATTAATCTCAATGAAAACATGGAATTTATAGAATTGTTAGTTACATTTGACATGTAACCTTCATTCTCCATGTGTTTCTTTATTATTGGTTGGTGATATCACATGTTCATGATGACGTGGTATAACTGTTATATTGAATTTTTACAGATATTTTGTATAAAAAATTACAAAAATGTTTTATGCCCCATTTTTCCCCCACCCCCTTTGACCCCCTCTCTCTCTCATTGGTTACATTTTATTTTTCTTTTTTTCCTGCTCCTCCAATCACCACCCGCCACGTGTCTGTGGGGGTTGTGGGGGTGGTGAATGGAGGGGGTCTCTATCATGGCTCAAAAAATTATTTTATCATTATATAATTTATTTTAAAACTTTATATCTATGACTTTTTTTAATATTGTCTATGATACACTAATTACAAATAATATTTAGCTTATTTAGTTCTAGTTTTCAGAAAATAATTTTCAAAAAATTCTATTTTTTATTTTCCATATTTTAATGTTTTCAATAATTTTTTTAATATTTTAAGCAATTTTTTTTTTAATTTTTAGACACACCTAACATAAATATACATAAAAAGTATAATATTTGTGAAAAAAATCTTTAAAAAAATACCCTAAATACCAAAAAATATAAAAATAATATGAAAATTTAATACATTTTTAGTATTTTCGTGTATTTATTAATGTTTTTAAATATTTTTTCACAAATATTTTACTATTTAGATATATATATCTAAGTAATGTATATCTAAAAAAGTAAAAAAATTGTTTAAAATTTAAAAAATATTCACTAAAACCAAAAAAATACGAAAAATAAAAAACTTAGTTTTCAGAAAACTAAAACCAAACACATTGATTATTTTATTTTTATTTTTTTTTATCTTTCTTGAAGTTAATGGTAAAAATTTATGTGAAATATTTTTATAAAAAATTTTAATATTGTAATTAATAAGTGCCCCCTCTGATTTAATTTCTTGACTTCGCCACTGCTTTGGCTGGCACCGCTACTGATTAACATTGATTGAGTTCATTACATCCATATTCAAACGATGGTATTATTTAGGGTAATTTTTGTAGTTATATATAAATTTTTTATACAAGAATATATGTTAAAATATTGGATGCAAGTACTTATAGCATATTAAGATGAAAATAACAAAAAAAAATACTTATTTAAAAATTAAAAAAATTAATTTTCTATTTTTTATAATAAACTTTTAACTTAAGAAAACTATATAAAAAGCCCATATCAAAAGAGGCCCATTTGCTTGGAGTCTTTGCTGAGCCCAGCCTAATAGCGCTGCATTACTACGCTACAGTCAAATTTTTAGCCGACAGAGTAGTGATCCAATGGGCTCAACCCCAGAGTAGAGTACTCAAAGACGTATCAAGTACTCTCATACTAGAAAGAAAGGCTTTCACAGTAAAAAGGTATTTGACCCGATCAGTTGGGTTCGGTTCAATCCAAACGCTTCAGACACAGTTGTCAGAAGAGAGAGAAACTCTAGAGAGAGAGAGAGAGAGAGAGAGGGAGAGGAGCACGAACGAAGATGGAGGAAGAGCGCAGCAACAACAACAGAAGCAGTAGTAGCAGTAGTAGTAATGGTGGTTTGGATACTGGAAAATCGGAGAGATCGGTGTGGCTGATGAAGTGCCCACTCGTAGTGGCGAAGTCATGGCAGTCTCACTCCGTTTTTAGCCGACAGAGTAGTAATCCAATGGACAATGTCTCGTAACTCAAATTTTGTGATTTAAAAGTGGTTTAAATGGCTAAAACGACGTCGTTTTGGTCATTTTTATGTTGTTCTGTACTCAAAACGACATCGTTTTGGCCATTTAAACTACTTTTGAACCACAAAATTTGAGCTACGTAGCATAACCGGTGATCCAATGGGCTCAAACCCAGAGTAGAGTACTCAAAGACGTATCAAGTACTCTCATACTAGAAAGAAAGGCTTTCACAGTAAAAAGGTATTTGACCCTATCAGTTGGGTCCGGTTCAATCCAAACGCTTCAGACACAGTTGTCAGAAGAGAGAGAAACTCTAGAGAGAGAGAGACGAACGAAGATGGAGGAAGAGCGCAGCAACAACAACAGAAGCAGTAGTAGCAGTAGTAGTAATGGTGGTTTGGATACTGGAAAATCGGAGAGATCGGTGTGGCTGATGAAGTGCCCACTCGTAGTGGCGAAGTCATGGCAGTCTCACTCCGCCGCCGCCTCCTCCGACTCTTCGCCTCTCTCCAAGGTCGTCGTCTCCGTCGACGCCCTCCGCCCTGAGGATTCCTCTTCCCTCCAGGTAACTTTTCATATATGTATTCGTATATATGTATTTTTTTTTGGAACTTTCAAGCAATTTCTTTGATAGTCAATGGAGCCGAAGTTGTTAATCCAGTGGAATATTGATCTGCTTTGAATTCAATGGTTTAGTTTAGAAAATCGGACATTGATTATGGAAATCGAAGGAGTTTACTGTTCTGCATTTGTTAAATTTATCATAATATCGTCTACACAATACTGGTGAATCCTTAACATATAAATTTATCAAAGAGGAGGCAAAGCATTAATTATTTCTTTTCTATACATATATGTAGAATTGGACAGTTGGATTCACTGGTACATTCTTTTCATTTAAGTAAAACATTTTAAATTTCTAGCGCAATTAGAGGAGAAAGTGGCACTATTGCTTATTGCATCATTGTATTACTCTTTGTGTGCAATACATGAATAATGATTCTGTTCAATGCAAGTGTTGTTATTTTCTTATTCACTAGTTTAGTAAAAATAAGGAGGAGTTGTTATTTGTCGGTTTCTTTTTATTTGTGAAGTTTGTGTTCTGATTAGTTCAGCCCTACTTTGGTTCTTGAAAAGGTTGCAATAATGTTTATAAGGGGATATTATTTCTGTTGGCTTTTAACTTTTGATGGTGGAGAGTTGAGGCAAACATTCAGCCAATGCTAATTCACTGGCAGTTGGTGATTGCAAGGACTGTGGATCGGAGCTTGTATGTTCCAAGGAGTAACATTTGCTTCTTTAATTAATGTTTTCCCCATTTGTTCTCTTTATCAAATGAAATGGATTTACTATAGCTTGCAATGTTGATGGAAGGTACAGAATTCAATTCCATTTTGCCCCCTAAGCCTATGTTTGTTTGGGTGGATATGAGGTTGGGATTTGACTATTAGTCCGATGTTTGGTTAAACAATTAAAGTACGGATTAACAATCTATCTGGATATAGTGTCCCACATTTGATGAAATATTCAATCCCACAGAGGGGGGTGGGATATAAATTGGAGGATTAAGCCAAAGTTTAAACTATTAGTCCTTCCTTATAATCTTAACTCAATCTAAACATAGGATAGGATACACAATCCAAAGGGATTTGTAGTCCTAGGACTATTAGTCATGAGAATTCTAATCCAACCTAATCTAATCCGCCTAAACAAACACGGCCTAAAATTATTGAAATGTGAGGAGATCAAAGCGTTTATTGGTATTGTTTGTGGTTCTTATGTGTATAGAGATGCTCTCAGTTGCAGGATAGATTTAATTGTTTGTTTGTTATCTGGGTATATCCTCAGCTTAAATCTTTTTTTATACTTGCATTGATCTGGAATGATAACCAGTTCACAATGGAGATGGCTAGCAATGAGATTGGGAACATGCCAAAAACCTACTCGTTGAACATGTTTAAAGACTTTGTTCCAATGTGTGTTTTTTCTGAGACAAATCAAGGTGAGGATCGTCATATATTAAGTTTAATATGTTTTCCTTGTTGAGTTTTTCTATATTTAATTTTTAATTTTTTTAAATTAATGATTATTGCTGTCTAATTATTTTATATTTTAGTGATATATGCTACATGAAAGTGACATTAGAATTGATGTCACTGTGTAAATAGACTAAGAGTACTTAAAAAGGAAAATTAAAATGAAATTATGAGCACATTACAAGTGGTTTAATTAAAATTTTGGAACAACTAAGATAATTGAAGCAGCTTCATTGTCTTTGAACTCAGGATATTAAGTGACTTGGAAAAGTATCACCTAGTTTGGTTTTAGATTTTTGAGACTACTAGTTTGTGGAAAAAAATGAATTCAATCTAACCAATTCATGCTTATGTTGCACCTAAATGCACTTTATCCGAAGAGAAATTATTTCTTAATCATACCATATTGGTATTATAGTTATTTATTTCTTATCAAGCACATGTCAGATTTTTCTTTTCTAATATATTTTTTTATCATGAACAAATTCAACTCATGGAACTCTTTAAGCCAATTAGTAAGAGATCTTGCATTTATGTGCATTAAAGCTCTTAGCTCCCATTGCCTGGATCTATACTGGCTTGTAGCTTCATCCATAACCTACGACTGTACCCAAAGAGAATCGTTCGACATGTTGCTAAAAGTTGAAAGCGTACCATATTACTATTGTTCATTTTGCATGATGCCTTCTTGAACATTTCACAACCTATATTCTGCATCTAAGGAATAGAGGTGATGGTTCTAGCTTTAATTCCTTTTGCATAGAAAAAGAAACCATTTGGTTGTGTTTTTGTTGGGAGGTCTTAAATGTAGTCAGACACTTCATGATACTTTGACTTCTATGCTACATGTGCAAATTTTTTTTTTTGGTGGTAAGTTTGGTTTTGAATTAGTTTAACTAATTTGGTAGGAAATGTCAATCTTGTAGGAAAGGTTGCAATGGAAGGGAAAGTGGAACATAAATTTGACATGAAGCCCCATAACGAGAACTTGGAGGAGTATAGCAAAATGTGCCGTGAAAGGACAAATAAATCAATGATTAAGAATAGACAAATACTGGTAGCATATGTTTCTGACTCTCTGTTCATTTCCTTCAGCTGTCACATTGTCTCCTTTTTCCCCTCCCTCTTGTCTCTTTCTGTAATGGAATTTTTTTTCTTCTTTTCCCTTGGCTATTCAATAGGTGATTGACAACGATCGTGGAGTCCATATGAGGCCTATGCCTGGAATGGTTGGCTTGGTTGCTTCTAGTTCTAAGGTATTCATATTCCCTCCTGATTCAAGAACTTATGTTGAAGTTTATGCTGTCATTTTCTTTTATATAGCTTTTTTATATCAGCTTCCATAACCAACTTTTGGAGTTTATGTTGTCTTGTTAGAAATGAAAATTCTCCGAACAGCAAAGGGGCAACCTGGCCTGTCCTAACAGGTTATAATTGGTGTCCTGTTTAGGTTTGTTCTGGGCTCAAACTTACTTTGAAGCCCAATTATTTATGTTATCTGTGGTTCATATTTTCATTTCTCCTGGTAAAGTAATTCAAAGCTTTTAAAGGCAAATGTGTAATGCGAGGCGTTTTATCCTTCGTGAGGCGAGGCATAAGCCTTAAGGAGGTGTAAGCATTTGAAATTTTAATATTTAGTAAATAAACAAAATATTTTACAATATAAAAAAATAAAAATTAAATGAAAGGTGTAAATACTTTTCTGCTCAAGGCGTTGAACATTTCATTATAAAGAAGGAAGCTTGCTCTCATCGAAATGAAAGTTGGCATTCTTAACCTTAGTCATCAAGTTTTTCTCTTGAACTTTAGTTTTGTGTTTTTTCTTGATTTGTTGTTTACTTAATTTTTTCTATGGAATATTGTTGCAAAAAGAGGTTGTTCTTTATAGACTAAGTTTGACAAGAGCTTTAGACAAGCTCTTCATATGTGTACTCCTCATATGTTTATGCGCAAAAAGCTTACAAAGCGCATGCACACCTTAGACTATGATATGCAAGCCTTCGGGCAGTATCGTCTAAAAATCATAGCCTTGATGCGTTCTTCCCTAGCTTCGTCTTGAGGTGAGCCTCAGTAAAGTCTTTTTAAACTTATCTCTCCAGTGATATTCATTTATGCAATTTATATGCTTTCCATCATTTGCTAACCAAAAATATCAAAAAGTGTGCATGGAATGCAGAATTACTAACTTCATCATCAACCATCTGTGTCTAGGATAAGAAGAAAACAGCACCCATTAAGGCACCAGAAGTGAAAAGAACTAGAAGGGATCGTGGAGAACTGGAGGAAATTATGTTTAAGCTTTTCGAAAGACAACCAAATTGGGCCTTAAAGCAGCTAGTCCAAGAAACAGCTCAACCTGCAGTATGACTGATTACTTATGTTTCCATTAATTTTGTTAAGTTATTGATTCTTTTCCCAGAATGCATTACTTTTTAAGATCTGCACTTTGTTGCTAGTAAAAGTATAAGATAAGCATTAGTGATGGTTTCAGTGTTTTATATGGTTTAATTTAATAGTAGAATTGTGTGCTGTTGTATATAAAATCTTAAAATAATTTTGTAAAATATGAGATGGCAATTTTTTTTTTTCCTTTTGTAGGTTAGATTACATAATCTCCTGTCCTACGGGCTGTATGAGGAAATGATGATTATATGGTTCTGCATATCTTATTAGTAATACTATCACTTAAATGGATTTTAACTTGTCAGGAATCTCTTGGTCTTTATTCGTTTTTTATTTATTTATTTTGCAGCAATTCTTGAAGGAGATTCTGAATGAGCTTTGTGTCTACAATAAAAGGGGAACAAACCAAGGAACTTATGAGCTCAAGCCTGAATATAAGAAATCTGTTGAGGATACAGGTGCTGAATAAATTGTCTTTTGTCTGACTGTATATTTGATTGTGCAAGATAAAATTAAGCTTAGGGAAGAAAAGTCGTGTTTTCTCCATTGGCATCACCTCTGTTCTTTACAAAATCCACATGGTGTGATCATTAACTTTTCTTGTTAAACTTAGGAGGTTAGAGACAATAAAAGAGACATCTACTCTTATATACTTGCTTATCAACTCTATTACTCCTCTTTTGCTTATAGTTGTTTCACTTGCTAAATGAATTCTGTCATTTTGTTTAGCTTGCACATAAATTAGGGTTACATTTCTTGTACATGCAATTCCACTAGCTTCTTGTATTCCATGTAAGACCATTTGACTGAGAATTGTTTCGATCTGGGCTGCCGGAGCATGACCAAATCAAGCAAAAGACCGAATACTAGATATGACCTTAAAATAATAAGGGGAAGAGTAGGAATTATAATTTACAGTGCTTGCTTTTTCTTTCTGCTTTTATTTTGTTTACTATTTATTTCATGCAAGAATCAAGTTTGGCAGTATCCTCCGAAGCTCATTGTCGTATGCTTGCAAAAGAGTCTCATTAAGACATTCCAGTATTTTGTTGTCACAAGAAGGTTTTTTCTTTTTAAATTTTAAATCATAGCTAGTTAGCCAAGATAGATATCCTTCTCCTTGGTCAAACTCAGTATGCTTGGATGGAAAAGGGATTGCATAAGGCTTGTATTACTGCCCTCTCTTCTATTCAAAAGGAACAAAAGACCTGAGAGTCTCACTGTGCGGAGATTGTTATTCGGCTGAGAATCCTAGGCCTTGTTGATGGAACCAAATAAAAGAAAGAGATTTCATTAGAGAGAGAAAATCTCTAAACATAGATACAAGAGCTCTAAGCTCTAAAATACAATTCAAAATATCATAAAACTGGGGACTAATCACCTATTTCTAGGAAAAAAGACCCAACTAACTCTTATGGTACTAAAACATAACAATCATACTAAATTCAACTGCATCACTTGCCCCCAGCCTAAGACAATAAACTTGAGTTGTCTGTTTAGTCTCCATTCTAATTGGATGATCAAAGCTCGCACCAAATATTGTTAGTTGTTTGCTTGAGAGTCGTTTAGTTGTTTAAGCATCGAAGCAGAACTGTTCAGTATATCCATCTATGTTCCTTGTAATCAGGCTGACATGTGGACTATGCAATGGTGTGTAAGGACACGTAGGAGTCGATGTGTCAAGGACACTTGCTGGGTGCTAAATACTCACACTAGGAAGAATGGATTCTTGGGTCTCTGATGTTTTCTATTATCTCTTTTTCCTTTTCTGTGTGAAAAGCAAAGTTACACGGATTCGGGTACGGATATCGAGTGCGGGTGCGTATCTAGGGGTTGGATACTTCAAAATTAAAAATTAAGGATACGTGCTAAGAAGCATGGACACGGACACGTGACACGACACGAGTACGACACGGACACGCTGACACGTTAATTTTCAAAAAATGCAGGACACGACACGAGGAGGACACGCATGAAATATATAATTTTATATATTTATTATATGTTATATATATATGAATATATCATTCAAAGATAATAAAAAATGCAATATGACACTAATTCTTATAAATTTATATGATTTTTATTTTATTATTGTATCTTAAGTTATTTTGTTCAAACATAAAATTAGTTTTACGTATGTCTAATCGTTAGACGCGTGTGTTTAAACGATTGACACGTGTCCTTCAAGTGTCCAAAGAGTGTCCAAGTCTTTAAACAATAGGACATGTTTTGAAGAGTGTCGGACACGTGTCCTGAGAGTGTCCAAAGAGTGTCGGTGTCCGACACGTACCCGACACGGATACGTCACCTTCCTAGAAGTGTCCGTGATTCTTAGGATACGTGGATATGTATCTAAATTTAGATACGGATATGGGGATACGTTAAATAGATTTTTAAAAAATATATATATTTATTATATGAAAATGAGTTATATTATATAAATAACAAATAAAAATTATAAAATAATTTTAGATATAAAATAAATTATATTATATATTATAAAATAAGTTATTTTTAATTTAGACATAAAAATTATATTATTTATGATATATTATATTATATAATTTTTTTTGGATGAATAATATTATATATTATTATATTAATGCAATTTATACTATATGTTAATGTAAATATAATATGAATAATAATTTACAAAAATTAGATATTATACTATATTTTAAGAAATAATAATTAGATGTTAATGTAATGCAATTTATACTATATTTTAAGAAATAATAATTAGATATCTTATTATATATGATAAAAATTATAATTTATAAATTATATAAATTATATGATATATATTATATATGATCAATATATATGATCAATAACAGAGACGAAGAGAGAGGGAACAAAACAGATTGAGAGATAAAGAGAGAGGAAAGCAGAGACGAGAAGAAGAGAGAGAAGCACAGAGGCGAAGAGAGGGACGAAGATGATTGAGATTGGCAGTGAGAGAAGAGAGTGGCGAAGATGATCGAAGCCCTCCGAGACGAAGACGATGACGATCGTGATCAATAGTGAGTCCTAATGGTGATTGATGATCGAAGCCAACGGCGACCAGGTTCTCTCTTCCTTTCTCTTCTTTCATTTCTTTTGTTGTAAAGAGCTGTGTCCGAGAGAGAAGAGGCGAATCCGACACAGATCCCACACCCGCACCCGTGTCGTGTCGACACGGGTACTTCGCCCCAAAGTGCCGAGTCCATGTAACACATGTAAAATGTATTCTTGCACATTCCAATTGTGAGAGCCATAGTATGTCTACTTTTCTTTGTGTCCGAATCAATGTTACCTTGAACGTTGATCATTCCAATACGGGAAACAAGAATGGGAACGTGGTACACACCACATGCTCCAAAATGTGGTACAATAGGGGTATACTTGTACATATTACACTTGAGCATTTATGATACTTTCAAAGTAATTTTCTTGTAATCATTAGCCATCCAATAAAATGTATATTTTTTTTCATGTAGCAAAACATATCTATGAGCATTATAATGCATTTTTTATGTTTTGTCTTATCAAAACTTAACTCAGTTTTACCTCATTATATTTGATTTTTTTTTCCTCATAAGGAAACATTTAAGGAAATATATTGGAAATCATTTCGGATCACTAAATTTATTATTTTGGAATGGAAGTGTACCATCTTTTGGAGCGTGTGTACCAATATGAAATTCGCTAAGGTTTTGTTTGATTAACATGATTAATAGTGAAAAGACTAATAATCCCATAAATTAGTATATGATTAGTTATCTAATTAAATTAGTGAGATAATCATTTATTATGTATTCATTTTGTTTTTTTTTTTTTTCATACTTGAAATTGGAATCCCTAGCCCTTCTCAATATTAAAAATTTATCAATTTCGTCAGATTGAATATCCACCGTATATATAATTCAGTTAATAAAATTTGTAATCAAACATGGGATTGTGTGTCCATGACTAACAATTCCAATCCTATTCTATGATCCTTGTAATCAAACATGCCTTGAGGGCTCGTTTGTTTTCAGAGATAAAATGAAGGGGATCCATAGTGAGGGGATTAAGTAAAATTGTGTTTGTTTTGATGATAACTGTTAGTATAAGGATTGTTAAATTATTTTTATATAAAATAAATATAAAATAAAAAAAACACAAAAACATTAAAAATTAATGTTAAAAAAAAATGCCCAACATGTAAAAAATTTTAAAAAAAAAAAATTTTTCAGGAAAAAATTGAACAAATAAAACAATGATTTTTACTTAACAAAAAATATAAAAAATTAAACATTAATGTTCAAAAAAAAAGAAAAAAAAAAAAATGCCCAACATATAAAAAACAAAAAATTTCTAGTCTTTGGGACTATTTTTCTAATACCATCTCCACCTCCTCCATCTCAATTCCCCTTCCAAGGCCTATCCTAATACCAAAGGATTAGGAGTCCCCTCCCCATCTCTCAAAACAAACACCCCATATAGTAGGTTCCACCTCACTATCAATCCCAATCCCCTCCTTATAACCCCAAACAAACGGGACCTAAGGGTACTAGCTTTTTCTGATTTATCAAAAAAAAAAAAAAAGGTACTAGCTTTTTCTGGTAACATAAGTCTGAATGTTGTTCTTAATTTAATTGTTGTAGTTGCAAAGAAATTTTTCATTATATTATTCTCCCAAAATTGAATGCAGACTTTTCTAACAAGTAAACGAAAATGTTAAAAAGTGAAATACAGTGCCTAACTACAGCTGTGTGCCTGTTACTATTTGGCCTGGAATATTATGGACTATAGAGTGCATGGTTTTGGGTGCAACCCTGCATATCGTTTGAAAGGTGTTGTTTTGGATTACCCTCTTAGAAATGGTATTGCAACTTTTTAGATGGAACTATGATAGTTTCAGGTGAACATCATGGATCAGTCAATTTGGGTTAAAACAGGATGGTGAAAAGCCAAGGTCCTTCATAATGTAAGTTACAAGATTTTAAATTTTTTTAATGATCATGTTATAGCCGAGGAAGATCCTGGTTTTCTGATAAATCACTTCAAGGGTAGTGTCCAAGCAGAGTACCAAAAGTACTTTTAGGCCTTGTTGAGAGGCTCTACTACCGTGATGACTGGAAGAGCCTTGTGGAAATGGAATCAACAGAAATCTTATTAACTGATTCGAGTGAGTTCTGTATGACCACAGTGGTGATGAATATTTAGTGCCTATCCTAGTAAAGATAGTTTTAGATGAAAACCATTTAATTTTTGACAACTCAAATAAACTAGAGTCTGTCTAAGATGATAAACTACGTTTCATGTTCACTACTGGTAGAAGGTAGGCTGCTTGTCTTGATTTTCTGGATCCTAGGCATAACTATACTTACTGATTGATGCTTCCATGTGTCAGTGAGCCACTGTAAAGGACACCTCAATTTGACTTAGAAACTGTGTGATCATTCAGTTAATTGGGGTTTATTCTGGATGCCCTAAAATATTGATTTTCATCAATCTGTTTTTACTGTTAATGGCCAAATGTTGTTAAAAAATCACTTGCTTGCCACTTCATAAAATCCTAAAATTACCCAAGAGTTTCTCAAGGCCCCATTATAAATGATGAATTGTACCTCAAATATCATGTAGGATACATGGTTGTTATGCCATCCATTGACATTAAATTGTGCCCTTTGATAATAAGATTCATTCAAGGACATTGAGGTCAGTGTTTTAGTTACTGTTGTAGCAAATGAATAAGACA